ATGAGTTGAAAATTTCCAACTCTTCTACATACACTAGGCAACATGTTGCTTGCAACATCTGGGGTTACTTTGATCTTTTAAGGCCTTTCATACACGAGGCAACTTGTTGCTAGCAACCTAGCAACATGTTGCCAAAAATAGAACATCTTTCTATTTCTGGCAACATGTTGCTTACAAGATCAAAGTAACCACAAATGTTGCTAGCAACAAGTTGCCTCGTGTATGAAGGCCTGTTGCCAGAAATAGAAGGCTGTTCTATTTCTGGCAACATGTTGCTTACAAGATCAAAGTAACCACAAATGTTGCCAGCAACATGTTGCCTAGTGTATGCCTGGCTTTACAGTCACTTCCATTGTGACACATTGCTATGTAAATCAAATGTATAATTATCATATCATATAGTTATGGAACTGACAGCAGTGCTACCATTATTGATGATGTTAGTTGCTCGAATAGTAACTATTTAACTCTACAGCAGTGTTCTCTTTCTACATCTATTTCAACTTTAAGCTCTTGCTCTCTTAGTACTTCATATGATGCTTATGTAGTTTGCCGTAAGTTATATAAGAGTTAATAGATTTAATGGTATAATTATGTTACATTGTACAGATAGTACAAGAATCTGGAATAATCCTTATTCTGGACAGATTCGTCTACAAGGAGGTACTTATTCAAGTTATGGTAGACTGGAAGTATATTGTAATGGACAGTGGGGTACAGTATGTGATGATACCTTTGATGCAACTGATGCTAGAGTTGCCTGCCGTCAGTTAGGATACAGTGATTACAATTCATACAGTGGAAACCTGTTAGTTCAGTTATTGTGAAAACAATTAACATATTGTTTGTGTTTCTAGTGCTGGGTCTAGCTCACAACCTATTTGGCTGGACAGGGTTTATTGCAGCAGTTCAGACAGTTGTCTTGCCTATTGTGAATCTTGTCCATCTTCAGAATATCATAACTGTAGACACAGTGAAGATGTTGCTTTGGGATGTGGTAAGCTGTTGCTCTATGCTACATGTAAAAGTGATTACGTAACCATTTTAGAATTTGACACCTCTCGAACTGATTCAACTAATACACTAAGTACTTGTCAATATGCTGACTCCTCAGGTAGCGAAATGAAATAAAGTTGTAGCAGATTATTATTTTTTTAATAGTTAATGTAGGAGGG